CATGGTGTTTGTAAATCATGTTGTTTTTTTCAAAGGCACTCATTGCAGGTTGCTCCATGCATCAGCTTCTCCTCAGACTGACTCACAGGAGTGCCTTCTCTTTTTCTTGCTGTTGTGTCCTCATATAGAGGTCAGGATGCAGCCAAAGAGGTAGCTTTGCTGGACAGAAAGTCCCAACAGATGTTTTTAGCATTTAATTAGGCTTTCATTTCAAGAGTACATCACCTATAAGGTATCTGGGGGCATGTCTACCAGAATTGCCACCTGGCCATTTCCCAGCTATGGAGCACACCTTATGGCAGTCACCTGTAATGACCTTTCTGGGCAGATCTGAGCTTGTCCTGCCTGAGCAAGCATCAGAAGCACTGCAGAAGGAGTGTGGCTTGGGAATCCCCAGTTTCTGCAGCATGGCCTTGTTGGCCTGACGTCAGGGCAGCTCTCTGCCTGTGCTAATAAACTTAACCACAGGCCAGGATTTATGAGTTCAGGCCCTGTTGCAGAGTCACAGAAATCCTTTCTATCCAGATCCAAATTAGTGATGCTGGTTGTATCTCATCTGTGCCAACTCAGGTGTCTGCACAGAGCTCCTGTGAGATGGACATGGCGTATCTTGGAGTTTTTAATGCCTGAATCCACCTTTCAGTCCTTGAGGGAGGAAAGTACCTTGTTCCCATTTTAAAAGAGAGAAGGTCAGGTTCAAAAATGCCCCCCAAAGCGCATCCACAAAACCCTAGGCAGCATGACAACACCTAAGCCAAACCAACTCCCTTCCTTGCTTTAAACACTATTTATTTGGTTTACCTAATGATGCAACCTGCATGAGTTGTCCCAGGCACTCCTCTTTTCCCAGGACAGGGACTCCCCTGCTATGGCACAGCCACTCCCCAGCTTGATTGCTGTCTCTCAGCAGCTCTGTGAGCCTTGCCTTCTTACCCAGAGAGCAGTTAGCACATCAGGAAGGCATCAGCCCTGAATTCAGACTGTGGTGCTTAGGGATAGAGACATGTTCTTGGGATGGGGGTGAACCAGAAGCTGGTTTCCTCCCCATGGGGTGCAGAGCACAAAGGTGACAGGTAGAGTTACCTCTTCTTTCTGGCTGATTTCTTCACGCATCCTATCCTATCCTGGAGTACTGTGTCCAACTCAGGAGCGTAGGATCTGTTGGAGAGAGTCCAAAGGAGGGCCACAAAAATGATCACAAAAGAGCACCTCTCCTATGGAAACAGGTTGAGAGAGTTGGGCTTGTTCAGCCTGGAGAAGGCTCAGGGGAGAACTTATTGTGGCTTTTCAGTGCTTAAAATGGGCCTATAAGAAAGATGGGGAGAGACTTCTTATCAGGGACTGTTGTGATAGTATGAGGGGTAATGGTTTTAAACTAAAAGTGGGGAGATTCAGGCTGGATGTGAGGAAAAAATTCTTTACAATGAGGGTGGTGAAACACTGGCACATGTTGCTCAGAGGGATGGTGGATGCACCATCCCTGGAGACACTCAAGGCCAGGCTGGATGTGGTTCTGGGCAACCTGATCTAGTTGAAGATGTCCCTGCTCATTGCAGGGGGATTGAACCAGGTGATCTTTGAAGGACCCTTCCATCCCAAACTATTCTGTATTCTATTATTCGGCTTTGCCCTTCTCTGCATCAGGAATTGTAAGCAGTCATGCTGCACGGTGACTAACCCCATTACTGGTTTTCTTTACATGGCTGTTTTGGTGCCTCAGTACAAGAGAGACATCTGTAAAGTGGAGGAGATTCAGAGAACAACAATAATAAAAAGCAAAATACTGTTGGAAATATCTGTAAGGCAGCAATTTAGAGCCCAGCTATTAGCGTGCTGGGACAGACCTCAAGTGAAACAAAAATTAATTAACTTGTTAAATATCTCTGAAGCAGGCATGTAAAAAGTATTATTGTCTGTACATAGATAGCCTGTGTAAACAGCCTTTTCCACTTGGGGCTATGTCTTTTGTAATTATGTATTATTTGCAAGAAGAAATCAGAGCGTGAGGAGTGAATATGTTTCAAATATGTCCAAACCCTGACCAGGCAAAAGCTGTGATTTTAGCTCATTTCAGGGAGAGGAGAACAAGCCCATTCATTGTGTTTATTCTCTTTGAGCTCTTTGCAACAATTGTACTTTTCACTGGAAGTGACTCACCTGGCAAAGAAGATAAGAAACCCAGAAGAACAAAAATATAGTGCTGGAAACTATCCTCTGAATTTGAGGATTACAGTCCCTCTGAAACCATAATCATATTCAGACCCTTCGGGCTTCCCTAATTACTGAGAGGAAGAACTATCATTCTTCTCTAAATGTGGTGTCAGCATTTGTTAGGAGCAAATTATCTGCAAACCTTCTCATGACCTATAAACCTGCAATTTGATATGCCTCACCCAATTTTTATTCTGTAACAAGTGATTTTTTTCATAGATTGTTATAGTGGAGACTCTTTAATCTACCAGGCAACATGTAATAGATCCCATGGCTGGAGGCTGAAGCTAGCTATGTTTCAGCTAGCAAAAAGGTGCACATCTTAACAGTGACTAATTAAGCACTGAAATAACTCCTGAGGGGATATGATGAATTCTCTACTTCTTGAAGTCTCTGAACTTTGTCTTTCCAGGCCTCATGCTACACCTGAAATACAAACTGTGGTCTTGGTACAGCAATTACAGGGAGGGGCAGTGTTACGGTATTTCTCAGTGTCGATGAGAAGACGTTTTCCACATCAAAACTCCCATTTTTTCTTTTTTCTTTTTAATGCACATAATTAAATTAATTCCTTCTTCCAGTGTCAACCAGTCTACTTCAGCAGAAACCAAGAGGCCACCGCCAACTTATACCAGCAAATAAAGCCAAACTTTTGAAAACATGTATCAGCTATGTTTGCAGATGCCTACTGGGGTACAGAGTAGCACTTTCAGTCTCACTGCTGCCTGTTCCTCATTTTTTAGCAATGGCTTTCTTTCACTGTCAATCCTTCCATCTCAGGAACAATACATTGCTATTGAAATGTTTAATGAGTCACTTCTAAATATCCCACAGGAACAACAGGACATTTATCTCATGCTGCAGAGCTGTATTTTAAAAATAACTATCTTAAAAAAAAAAAAAGTAAAGCAACAACTCAAAAAAACCCAACTATTTTCTCCTTCCTACTTTACAGAAGACTTTCTCTCTGCCTTTCCTTTTTCGTTTCTCATGCACTCTTCACCCGCTGGGTTATGCTGAGGTGACTACGAGGACGCCCAGGCTGAGACTGTCTGTTTGCATTCTTCCGTCGATTTGGGTTGGCTCCTGTTCCCTTGTGTGGGCTTGGCAATGTGAAAAAGTGACCTTGTGGCAAACTTGGGTGTGACCTTATAAAACAGCAACAGCTCCCAGCATGAATGCTGGGTGTCCTACTCTTACTTCATGGAAAATGTGAGGCAGCTTATCCCATGTCCACCGACAAACTGTTTTACATTTATCTTAGGGTGGGAGTGTGAGTCTACAGAGTTATCCTAGCATGGCTAATGCACAGAGTTGCCACATCCTGGCTGTCCTGCTGGAAGCTCTTCTTGCTTTGCTGATGGTGTTATGCTGGAGCCAGATCGTTGCCATACACCTTGGTGCTTCTGTGGCTGCAGGACCAGAGCAGCACCATTCATTTCTGCTGCTGCTGTGGCTTTCTGACTTCCTTGCTCCATCTGCTCCTTCAGCTCTGAAGAGGCAAAAAGAGCTTGGAGCTGCTCTTCAAAATTTTATCATAACCTGATACTGATGCTACTCAAAACATGTAAGAAGTAGTTAAGAAGGTAACTGTTGGGCGCTGCAGCTCTTCGCACCATGAGCACAGCTATCAGAAGATGTGTATGGATTCAAACATCTCAGTTTTGGAATCAAAACAAAGCGCTGTTTTCCTAAGGATGACATTCAGTACAAGGGTGTTGAAACCTGAGTCAGAGGTTCTTGCAAGTGTCCTGACACACCAAGGAAAATTACAGAGCCTGCAGCACTGAATGTGAGCCAGAGACAGCTCTGCGTGACCCTGGGTGCTCCTCTGAACTGGGAGATACTTGCATTACTTGGGTCTGCCTGGACTCAAAACAGCACAAAGCATTGGCCTACATTGACAGTTAATTGTGGGCCCAAGCCTCCTTGCAAGGCTGGATTCACCCTCTGTTTGCACCACCAACAGCTAAGCCACTCCAGGCTGAGCCCTACAGCTCTGCAGTGGTGGCGTTGGCTTTTCAACACAATGGTCAGGTGAGGCTGGCCTTATGTCTTTGGCATAGAGAGACCTTCCAAGCTTGGAAAGCTAGGTTGGGGGTGAGGGAGGAAGACATATATATTTCTGACAAATCAGGATAGTTGAGGACCTACCATGTTAGGCCGTATTCAGGACTAATAACTGCGCTGTCTGGTTTTATTTGTTATCAGTAAGAAACTTTTCCTCTGCTATATGAGGTGTTAAGTGTAATACATATGTGTTTGCCTTACTAGTGATGAAATAGTTATGTTATTGGGGTTTTTCATTCAGGCTCTGGTGCTCCTGACAGCCTGTGGTTGTGACACAAACGCCAGAGCAGGCTGCCCCACGTCGATATTCCACACAAAGAGTTGCTTTGACTTGCTCCTTCCCAGTCCCCAATGCACGCACATGCGCTGCTTCACTCCTCATTGGAGCAGAGGAATGGAGATAGAGCAGCTGTGAAATACACCTGCCCTCCATCTGCAGCACTGCTCGATTACATGCCTTTAACTTGGCGATATAGAATAGTTATGCTGTAATATAAATACATTTCTCTCCCCAGCCCATGACTCTGGATCAATCAGCAGATTGAAACAGCAGGAGGGAAATGAAGTAGTAATGTAGGGTGAAAAATAAAGAGTTGAGAGTGTGATCAGCCAACTAAACACCACTAGCGCATGCTCAGTGGGCCTACAGCTGCAGTGGGCTGTGACCATATCTATTAATAGGCCATGCAGAGCACTTTGTAGTCCTAAGAACAATGCTCTTCAGATGTTCAAGCTCTTGTTCCTACTCTGTAACTTCAATAAGTCCATTGTGGTGCCCTGTTACAGTAGCTGACTCATCAGAAATGATGAAAAGTCTTACTCTAGTCTCCTCCGACTAGAAGACAGAAATCCTGCTCCTCATTTCTAGAATGAAGAGACTATAAGAAAGAAATAATGCTGAGACTGTAAACTCAGCCCTAATGTGGGCAGGAGGTCGCCCCTAGAGCATCTGTCTTGCTCCAGGCTTGATGACGGACACGAGGGGAAAGGATTGGGGTGGAAGGAAGACGGCTTGGTTTGTTGTTTCTGTGGAAAAGGACCTGCTGCATCCCAGGCCCAGGGGACCAGGCTCTTACATGCTTGTAGCTGGACTGAGTGTGCCCCAGGCCCTGTGGGCCGTCACCTTCACAGTCTACAAACTGTCTGTCATTTTAGGATCATATACCTCCTGCAAAGCAGCATGCACACCTACACAAGAAACCGTATCCCTAGACCCTGTCTATGGTGACAAGCAGGCACATCTAAAGTACAAGTTATTTCCTTTTAAAGACATTTCAACTTAAGGAAGATGATTTCTACCTCTCACTCAAGAGACACAGTATAGGGGAACTGGGCAGGTCAGATGTTTAGCAGGTTTAGAAAAGCTAACCTTGTACATCAGGGCACTAGGGACCTGTTACTCTGTGAAGATGTCCATAACACCCTTGGGCTGCTCCAGTCCCTTTCCCCTGCTGGTCTGTGGCTGGAGTCAAAAGTGAGTGCTGCAGCTCTGTGATTAATTCTCATCTTCCCCATGACTGAGGAAGGAACTTGGGGTCCCCAGGGGCAGTGGTTGTTTACTGCAGGACACAGCCCCGGAGGACTGGAGCCTGGTGAATGTCTGCAGTGCTGTCTGAAACTCAGGGGTGAAACCGTGCTTGGTGGGAAAGAGCAGCAGCTCTGCGGGAGAGAAATGCTCGAGGGAGAGGGTGTACCCAGGGAACAGCAGAGGAAGCATGTGTGAGGCAGCAGCTGCAGAAACAGGCAGCAGGGAGGTGGTAAGTGCTTGGGAACGAACACTGGAAACGAGAAAAGGCAAAACACGGTGATGGAAGGAGGGGTGAAATGAGGGCTGTCAGTGGAAACGGCCAGGGGACAGTCACTCCTGCATGGGGACAGGGGCACTCTGGTTAGCACTGTCAGGGTGCTTCAGCCACCACAGCCGCTGCAGGCTGGGAAAGCCTGAGTGCAGCCACTGGGGCTTGATGGGGCACGTCTCCAACTCAGAGTGGGACTGCCATCTCAGCCACTGTGGGCTTGTCTGTGTAAATGTAGTTATTTAATTGAATTACCTAAGCCAGGAGCTGAGTCACCCCAGAGGAGCATCGGTAAGCTTTTTACACCTTGCAAGGTCTCCTCTCAGGCCACCAGCAGTGGCAGGGCAGGCTGGTTGGGACACTGCACTGTAGGCTTGCCAGCCCTGCCTGAGGCTCCTTCCCCCAGTCAATGGAGCAGCCAGGGGAGCAGCCTACCTACAATGACGCAGCGCATAGAAGAGAAGAGCCACCTTCCCAAGGTGCATGTTCCCCTCCTCAGACTGTAGGAAGAGCCTGAAGCAAAGACAGCCTTTTGTTTAGGGATCTCAGCCAAAAAGGTCAAAGTCTGAGACAATGAATCTGGATATCCATGTAGATACATGGTACATACAGCAAAGTTAGCATTGTGTAGCAGAGTGAGAGTAGGCGAGTCATCTTGGAGATCACCAGAGCTGACTCTATGGTTTTCTGCACAATAAGCACCACTTCTTGCGTAATTTGAAATGCATATGACGTGGGAGCTGGTGTGTTGGCTCCGTATATTGCACATTTCAGTTGTCTGGAACAACTAGCTCTCAGTATTAGTTTTAAGATAAAGCTGGTGTGAGGTAGTGAATGACAAAATATTGCTGGAAAACGATCAAGCACTGAGAAGCACATGTTAAAAAATTCCTTCAGTGTATTGATTGTACATTACAGTTTAGAGATAAGCAGATTTTCCAGGAACCCAAATAAACCAGCATCCAGGGCCTTACTCATAAGGTGTATCTGAAAGTCAACAATACTGAATGTTTGTATGCTATTCACCAACTTCTTAGTTGGTGAAAAGCTTGGTAATTTCTGTTTCCAGGACTAGACATACTATTTTGGCACATTCTGTCGAGTTCTTCTGACAAATCGAACACAGGTATACTCTAGCCATTTTGGACTGCAAAAACATTTCTGAAGGCAGCCGCAAGGCTGCCTAATACCAAGTCAAAATGAGACTTCAAGGCAAGATTTTTTGTCCTCTCCTCTCCTTGCAGCTGACAATGCCAGTAAACAGCACATTCCCAGTATACTGGTGTCTTTGTGGTCTGTCCCCTGTGTTTCCTCACACAGATGAGTTCCCAAGGCAGAAGGGCAAAGCCTGCATCATGCAGCAGCCAAGGAACCTGTGTCTTTCCCAGCCAAAGCCCCACAACAGCCCTCTGTGCCCATGAACAGGCACCTCTGTCCCACTAAGTGACCCATGAAGGGTCTTTCAGACCCAATAACTGATGCAGACGGATGTGCATGGCCCAAAAATATGCTGCCTCCTGCCACATGACCTAATACAGTGGTGGATACCTCTGCTGCATTCCAGAAGCTAGCAGTGCAGGGGGATTAGAAGTACTTAAACCTACATGTGTGATCAATGACTTGTGTGACAGTAGGTGGGTGAGAAGAACATAATGAAGTAAGCAGCAAGCCTGGAAATACCATGGAAAAAATATGGGGATTGGAGTGTGGTAGAGGATTTCAGTTTGCCATGTTTCACCTGTGTATCACATTCTCTTCAATCCTTTCCTTCACTTATTAATTGCTGGGATAATGCAAGTGAGAAAGCATCCAGACCCATCCAGTCTGTTTTGCAGGACACATAGGCTCTGTGTTTTTTAAATGAAACCACTGTAGCAGTTTTAATGCAGAGAGCATCACAGGAAAATGTTTTATGTTGTGGATTCACTTTCCTATTGGGACCTGTATTAATAATACCTATGTCCAGTTGTTAATAATACCTATGTCCAATGAATGCTTTGTTTAAATCTATATTGAAAACTTGTTTTTACAATGGCATTCTTCTGTTTAATAGGATTTGACACGTTGGCTCTGGTGTAGCAGGCAAGTTGTTTATATAAAGCCTTGAAATGCATTTCTGAATGGTGCTATTTAAATACTGCATGCACAGAATTTTACTATTTTATTGTGCAACTATAGAAGGCTTCCTGTTCTATACCATAATACAACTTGTTATTTTTCCAGCACACACATTATACTGCATTCAACTTCTGCACAAGGTAGAAGAACTCAAATTAAATTTACAAGCACACCTGAGCAAAGCTAGTTGTGCTTGATCCGGCTCTGGCCGGATCATGTTTCCATGATTAAATAATGATGGCTATTATAACACATTGCAAGAAAATGCAGCTATAAATCCCTCTCAGTTTATTTCCAATGCTTCGTTGTACCATAGAAACTCTGCTGTGCTTTCTAGTAAGCAATAGGCTAGACATGGGACTGGGTCACCCTGAGCAGATGTGTTAGATACTAACTCTGAGAAGATAAGAGTAACAATGCTGCTCTCCCATGAGTTTCCCCCTGAAGGACCTTCCCATGCTACACAAACATTAATAAATCGATCTTCACTGAATCCCACAGCAGTTTATTAACTGAGGAAATTGGTTCGCAGAAAGATTTAGCAGTTTGCTCAAGGCCAGCAAGTAGATCCACAGCAAGGAGAAAGAGCTGGGGGATTGTGTTGGAGACCATCTTTTATTGCTGTTTAATGTTTAACCTTGACATTTAACGTGGTGTGCTGAAGGCGCGACAACGCTAGGTGTTCACATCGTCAGAAGTGAATGGACACTGGTTTTGGAGACTAAAAGACAGCATGCCTCCAGTGAAGCAAGTCCTTGCTGAGCATGTCGGTCACCTTGGGGACTCACTGGGGTAGTAGCTCCCGTGGGGGTGAGGGACCATCTCCTGCCTGCTTGTGGGGCTGCTTTGGGATGGGGATGAGAGGTTTGTGGCTCCACTGCTATCCTGACTGGAACCCGTCGCTGGGTCTCTCAGGGGTCTAGGCGGAGCTCTTGGGGTCTATGTGTACCCAACTTAAAGAGCAGAGTCATCTGCTCTCTTAGGTGCTTTTCCCACAGTCATCCAGGTCACACTGCAGCTTGCAGATAGCTTTCCTTTTGGTGAAAACAAGGGTGACAGGGCTATAGCGGTTGCTGCTACATACCCAGCCCTGAGCTGTCTACAAGACATGGCCAGGGCATATGTCTGGGGACACCAGAGCAGCTCAACCCTCTCTCAAGTTCAAGGTTTTTACAGGTAGCTCTGACAGTTTAGCATTTTAGTAAGATTTCTTATTTTCCAGTCATTTACAGTTTTGCCAGGATTTGACCATTGGAGTAAATTTTTCCAATCCAGGTGTTTGCCTCAGGCTGAATTAGCTCAGATGGGGGTTGGCGGGGAGAATTTCATTTAGAGCTGTTTCTCATGACCAGGACTCAGGCTGAGGGAAAAGGCTATCTAAAAAAATGTTGTGACTTACCCTTTGAAACTCTCCAGTGCTATGTGGATGAAAAGATAGTTGTGTAAGGGAAAGGAAAACAGAGCAGACAAGGAATTGGGGTCTATGGGGACAATTCAGGTTGATATCTATTGTGGGGAGAGAGGTGGAGGACCTGGATGTGGTGAACCAGCACAGGCAGTCTACCATGACTAAAACTGGGAGGATGAGTTCAAAATCCACAGGTTTTATGGAATGGGATGGAATTGCTGAGATTGGCAGAAGTTTACAGTGGGGGAAGTCCTAAGGGGTGAGGCAGAAGTGGGTTAGGACAAGGGTGACCATTTAAAGTTCTGCACGGAGGAGAAGACACTAGTCCACAGCCTGGACTGAGTCTGTTCCTACATTTCCCAGTCCATTGCTGTCAGTGTTGTTGTATGAAATCGCTGCTGACAGCATGTTTCCTCTCTCATGTACTGTTAGAGCAGGCTCTCACTCTACAGGTGTGGTCCTTTAGCTGCCTCGGCAAATCTTAACACCGTGATGTTTACCTTACTGATAAGTCATGTGGATGTCATGCAACCTTACTTAACTCCCTTTAATTTTGTTTTTAATTGCACTTGGGGTTTCTTCATGTATCCAAAATCCTTTAGTCTCATGCTGTGCACTAAAAGGACATGTCTCAGCTGGCAAGCACCTATTCAATACATTATTTTCCAGTATATTCCTGATTTATACTATGCTCTTTGAATCCTGGAATACATTTTCCTTATGGGACTTTCTGTGGTGCTCACATCTGTAGTACAAGAGTTCCCCAACTATTAGTAGCTTCATTTTAGCAAAACTTCTTTGTGATGAGATATCAAGGTATTGTCATTTGGCAAATGGGCAGCTAAGTCAGCACTGCAGCTGCCCAGTTTAAATCCACTGGGACTTGATTTTTCAGAGCTCTTACTATAGGATATGATGCTGTGAATTACCTAAGCATTGCTCTCCCTGTCTCAGCTGAGTCTGAGAGCTCAGCACTTCTGCAAACTAAACCACTGGGCTTGGAATTCAGGCACCTAGAAAGTAAAAAAGACACAACTAGAGCCCGTCTATGAAAAGCTCAGCTGAACAGTGTTTCCAAGCCCTCTGGAACAAAGGAGGGGATAGGATCCAAGGATGTAATTTTGTACTTTCTCTTCCCTGCAGTCCCATTCCTCATTTACTTCTAGCTTTTGTAATAACATGAAGTAGAGATGCTGCCATAGCCACAGAGGAGGTCTAATTTGCGTACTGAAGGAAGGAGCCGTGTGGAAAAACAGTGTCTGAGCAGATAGTACAAACCATGTATGTATAATGCATGTAGGCATGGGAGATGAATTAACGTAGCAAAAGTAATTTCAGATTAACATTTTCTAACATTAGTGTGCTTGTTCTGCCAAGATTATTCATTTTCCGTCAAAGCGGGTCTCTGATTTGTTTTGGAATAAAGTGTAGTTATTCTAATTCTGTGTAGGAGATAGCCAGTTTTATCTTTCTTACAGAGTATTTTTTCAAGTGGTAGGGTGCCCTTCTCTTGACATTCCTCATCAAGTTGTGTTCAGTGTTTGAAGATGATAAATGTGCATCAAGCTCAGCATTTCTACCACCACCTACCTGCTTTGGCTCTTGTTTCATTAAAATTTCAGCAATGTGCTGGTTCATGGCAGATAACCTCCTCTCCCTCTCCGGAGAGCCTGTGAGTGTGTGTGTAGGGGGTGAGTGAACGGGTGCATTTCTCATCTCTCCGGCACTTATTACATTCCTCTTTCTCTACCTCCTCTGCAGCAATAAATCAATGCTACTTGTTATTGTCTACTCCTTGGGCAGCGTTTCAGGGGCAGAAGCAGGCTTTTCTGGCTATAATATTGTAGGTTTTATCAAAAGCTAAAACAGAAGTAAAAAGCTAAAGTAAATCAAAGACTTATTCTTGCAGATTCTGAGAGGAAGGACTCTACTGTGGTCATAATAACTACATCATCCGTCAAGACAGGCATGCTTTGCCCATGCAGGCTTCAGTTACCAGTCCCAGCCCTATGCTGCCTGCACAGGCAGGAATGGGGAGTGTGTCAGTGGGGTGGTGTTTCTGCTTCCATTATGGGAAGGACAATTTAGGGTTTCTGGTGCTCCTGGCTTTCCTGCCTGGAGGCATCCTCAGGGCTGGGATGCTGGATGCGCCTTTCCTGTGCATGTGCTGAAATGAGTGTGCACTCTTTGCCCTTCTTCAGAGAGTTAATAGCAAATGAAGCCCTAAAGATATGTTGTGGAAGGAGTAAAATACAGCCTGATTATTGTTTACTCTGACAAGAGCAGAGAAACATACAGTGGTGCCTGTGGAGAAACTGTAGATGTGGTGCTTAGGAGCATGGCTTAGTGGTGGATTTGGCAGTGCTAAGTTAACAGTTGGACTTGATGATCTTAAAGGTCCTTTCCAACATAAATGATTCAGTGATTCTATGATTCTAAATAAAGAGGAACATCACAGCGGGTCTGTGGCTTGTAGCAACTCCCTGGAGTAACTGCCCAGAAGGCCTCTGCCTTCTTGTTTGTTGCCTGCTTTCTAATCACAACAGACTGTTTTCGTCCACACAGGCTTCCTGATTTTCTACAGGAAAAAAAGGCCTTCCCACATACCTGGCCCAACAAGAAGGGATTAGATGTTCTTGCTCTCCACTAAGGACACCTTAAAGAGATGGGGTGGAGAAATAGTGAGAGAACAAAGTGGTGCGGTGGAGGAGAGGGTGAGAATGCAAACAAGAGCCTTCTGGAATAGAGGTGTTTTGCTGATCCAAGCCCAGAAGCACAAAAAAAAAGTATAAATACCTGGCACATATGCTTAGGCATCCAGGACCAAATTAAACAGGCAGGTTTAAAGCTGGGGTTGCATCTGGGTTTTCTTCATCCTTAACTCCTTCCAGTGTTATCTAGGGTAGCTCATCTGGCAACCCTCATGCTGAAGTTACTGAAGGATGTTTGCAGGCAGGTTCTCAGAGTCTGAAGTGCAATAAAAGGCCCCCTGACATATTAGCATGTTTTTCTTGTGGCTTTGTAGACACATCTTATGTTTTCATTTTTCTGCAGTGGCAAAAGGGGGAGAGTTGAGGGGTCCCCCCAAGCAAGAAATGTACTTATCCACTCAGTTTGTCAGCAACAGCACTGCTAAAAGCATGCACACACATGCACCTCTTTCTCTATGTCTTCCCTAAACTTTGCCTAGTTTTTTTTTATTAAAATGGCTGCCTCGAGCTACTGATGAACATGAGCCTGTAACATGAGATGTGCAGTGTATAAAAAAACCCACTAACTTTTATACAAGCTCAGATTCCTTCTCCTGCTCTGATTTTCACTGTTTGTTATTGGAAGGCTTCCCCAGCTCCCTACCCTTGTTTTCAAGGGGACATACACAGGTCACACTGCATTTTTCTGGCCCTGCAGGGAAGATGATGCGCTTGCATCAGGCTGCATTTGGGTATAGCCCTCTCTGCCATGTTGCTGACTGTGAGGACAAGCACACAGCTCATGCAGTGGAGGCAAGCCTGACATGCAGAGACGATCCATCTCTTTGATGAGGCTTTTTGAGGCTCCAAAATATGTGTGATGGCAAGCAGATAAAAAAGTATTACATGCATAAAGGGGAAGGGATTTTTATCTGTTTGCTCGTTTGCTCTCCTTTCCTAAAAGTAGGAAAGCTTTTTAGGAAAGTTGACTTGTGTGCGTGGACTTGTGTTGTGATAAACATCAGATGGGTTTACATATACAGCACAGCCTTTGAGGGACAGGTCTGGTTCAAGAGCTCTCCTTGCTCCATGGCATGGTGGAGGGGGACAACCTGGTACAGAAATGGGGGGAGAGTAGCTTGGGAACAACTGGCATTAGCTTTGGGTTTTGAGGAAGCTGTGGCCACCGCTGAGAAGGTGAGGTCTTGTAGTGCAGCTCTGACCTCCTCTGGCTGCTGCATCTGGGGGTTTCCAGGTGTCCACATCCCCGAAACTCACCTGATTTGGGGAGCTGGTGGTTTCTCTTCCCCCCAGGCACTGCACTGTAACTCAGAACCACTGAGACAAGTGACTGTTTAAGACAAAGTGAATTGTCCATAGCCTTGCTGTCTTTCTGCATCTCATTTTTCCACAACTCTCTCACTTGCTGATTATAATTGCCCTTTAATTGCTTGTACAATTTCAATTACATAACAAGTAAGCTATACAGTAGCTGCCAAAAGTATCTGTTAAGTTCTCCTTTTTTTTCTTTATTATTTATAATTGAGTTTAAATATTTTCACAACTGTGATTGCCATAGTCCTGACAGAGAGGTGAGGTCAGTCAACAAATGAACTTACTCTGCATTCTGTCTGCTTACTCGGGGCACAAGTTCACCAGTTTGCTCTGTAGAGATTGTTATTTAGATCTGGTAATGCTGACCAAACATCCTTAATGTGGACAAAAGGATTTCATGGTTTATGCAGTCAAATGCTGTAGGGATATCCAGCAGTGTGAAAGCAGGCAACAGCCAAGAGCAAATCCATCACTGTCACTAGTGCTGTTTCCATTTTACATGCCAGCTAGATGTCGAACTGGAAGAAGTCCAGGATCTTTGCAGGGTTCAGAGGGAGATAGGACCAGCCCTTCTCAAGCGCTTTTATCATGTTCAAGGAGGGTGAGATCAGATAATGGGTTACAGTGAGAGAATTTGCTTGCATAAAGCAACAATATAGTCCTAATAATAAGCTTTAGGTGGAGTTTAAATGTCTCTTCTGGAAGAAAGCATGAGTGATCTCATGTGGGGTTGCTTTGATTTCTTTTTTTCTTCCTGGACAGAATAGAAAGGGGCAACTGAAATGGAGAGTCTCATCGGAGGCTCTCCCATACTCCTGTTGTGTAGAATAGTTGAACTGTGAGGCAGAGAGTATTGACTTATTGGTCAATGAGGAGCCTGTATGGAGCCTTCTTTCTTGAAATGGGATTGCATTGTGCAGGGCCCCTACATATGGTTCAAATTCGGTACTTCCTCTGTATCTGACAGAGTTCTTCCAGCAAGAATACATCTGAGGAACCGCTACTGCACCTACCATGAAAGCATGGAGAAGAAAACCTCACCCTGTGGGGTCTGTTCACCATTCTTTCTCCCATGGTGACTCTTTGTGCTTTTATTTGTGCTTTCAACACAGGTCTGAGTTTGCTCTCATAAGCAGACTTGTCTATCACTCATGGTATGAGCCTCAAGGCCAGCTCTGGCAGGTCACCTTGTTTGGATACTTGTTGAATTTATATACTCCATGAGGTCAGTTAAGTTGCTCACACATAGATACCAAGAGCCATCTGAGATGCCATGAGATAGCTGAGGTACCCATGCTGGCCTGAGAGATATGGCAGAACACCTATAGGAGGCACATGTCCACCTGAAGAGGCAACTGGAGGCCAACCATACTATTGCAGGATAACTCCAATCAATGTCCAGTGAGTTGGAAACAGTAGCATACACTTGGTGTCTGCAGGTTAGCCTGGTGTGTAAGCGTCCAACGTAGTCAACTGAAATCTCAGTCAGTGCAGTCAGCAGTGACTGAAGAGCTATTCTGGGAACCAAATGCTGAGGTACAACTCAGTTGCTTAAATATAGGTATCAATTTTCTTTTGAGATATCCTCTTATGTTTGAAGTATTCACACAGGACTGGCAGATATGATTTGACCTAATAGGAGATTAATAGTCTCCAGAAGGAACAGCTAGGCATCACGTAGGTTAAAAAGCCAACCAGCACCTATGTTTTGCAAACAAATCTAAAGACGAGCACATGCTCTGTGGACTGAACAACAGCTGATTCAGGTTTAAAACCAGCCCAACTGCAAACACCTCAAACTTGGCTCTTCCTGTGTTAGCTATGATGAGGTTTCAGCACATGGCATGAATGAAAAGCATGTGAGTCTTAATGCTTGTGAGTTAACGTGTTGCCAAGTTCATTCTTCACTGTGTAGACATACAATTCCCAATTAGCCTATGCCAACCATTGACCAATAGGCTGGCCTTGCAAGAGCTCTGAGTAAGCAGTGTGTATCATGTGAACACAAACATGGCAGGAAGTGGGCCAGATACAAACCTCACTGGAATGGTGAATTGTGTCTAGGCATTAATCTGTCTTTAAATTCAGTATTTCTATTGGACATAATTATTACCATTGGCATAAACAGTGAGCTATCCCCCTTGCTCAAGCCTGCTGTAAGTCTGACTTTTTCATGTCTGCTCTTAATTGTTGCCAGGGTTCCCTGTAGTAGCATAAGCCTGTTTAATATTACATGGTATGAGAAAATTAAATGATCAATATCAGGTTAAGAGCACTTAGTTGTTCTTTCTTTGCATTTGTAATTGTTGGCGTGACAAGGAAATAATTACTGTGCTGAGTTTATTGTCCTCTATTGGTGATTTTGTTCCGGTATGGACATGTCTGATTTAAATTGTCTATAATATTGTTGTCTTGGAAGGAAATAGAAAGGAAAGGGGAAGGGAAAGGAAGTAGGAGAAATTAAAGGCTGATCTAAGATTAACATAATGTTTACTCTGGCTCTTGGCAAGGTCTTTTTGTAAAAGGAGACTCCCAAAGCAAAAATCATCTAAAGTGGATTTGTTTAAAGTGACATTGTCAACTTAAATGTCACACTTCGGGATTTTTTTTTTTACTCCATGTTGTTATAAGTAACGCCTAAACCAATTATACCCCGCTAATGTGATTGGAACACCTCAGATTATTACAGCTGACAGACTAGAGGAAAAGTACTTCTCTGTATTTTTGGCTTGTTTTTATTGCAGTTGGTAGCACTCTGTCCATGATCACCAACTCATATGGAAAGCTTACACACAAAAAGAGCCGTGTAAATTTGGGCCATGCCCAAATCTTCTGTAGTTTCTTATTGACATGAAAGAATCAACAGCTGATTTTTTTATTTTTTCAATTTCACCACTTCCCTATCTGTGCATTAGGGCTCTTTCCCGCTGTTTATATAGCTTTTTGATAGAGTAACAGGAGAGAAAAAGAACACCATCAATGGGTTTAGAAAAAAGATTTTTAAAACTAGCAGGGGAAGTAGAAAAACAGAAATCCCCATCAGTCCTCTTCAGGGAGCAGGTACCCTCAGGGTCCTTGCTTTCTGCCACACAGAGACAAGCCAGTCCCTAATGAAAAGATGCCAGCTCCATCCAGAAGCCGGTGGGAGTGGGCTGAAAAAGAGATCCCTCTAACTGAGATACTTACAAGTCACCGGTGTCAGCATTAAGACATCCTGAGAGGGGAGAATCGTAACTGGTTACTCACTGCCTTTGTTTAGCTGCCTTTGGAGGTTTCAAGGGACCTGAAGAAAAAGACACTGTGGCACGTGCCAACTGTTGACTCTATCAAATAATAAAGCAATCCCAGTGGGTATTAAGAAGCTTGGAATCATCCTAATGAGTCTGGCAAAATCTCATTAGGATGAACAGCAGGTGATGACAAAATATTTGCTCTGTATGCAAATGAGTTGTTTCTTTCTCCATCTACACATGGTTGCATGAGTGCTCATTTTGAGCACTCAGGAGCTGTCAGATAATTACTTGCTGGAGTAAAGCACTGCATCAGGTAGTTGTATTTCAAATGCATCAGTGTCAAAAATGGGAAAAATGCTGGAAAAGAGCTTTGCTTTTAAGGTGAGAGCCCTCTTCTATCACCAAACTCTCAGCCTCCTTTCTGCGCAACAGTTTTTCTGGGCATCCAGGCAATCCAGCTGTCTTTCTCTTCTAAGCAAGGGAATATGGGCTGCAGGTTGTCAAAACTTCTTCAAGAGCTGTGAGCATAGAAAGCATGGTGGAAAGTGGAGGGGGGTGGGAGGTGTGCTGTATAATGAAAACAAGAGAAAACATGGCAGTTCCTGTTGTCAGAGGCAGGTTACCTGCACAGACCTGCACCTGATCTATCCTTCTAGTTCAAAACAACTCTACTAATCAAACAGGAAATATCCAGCTGCGGGCTCAGATACTGCTGTTTGTATAGTAAATCACTGCTTTGCCCCCTTCTGCTGCTTGAACATCAGGCTGTGTAGGCCCTGATATTGTTCAGATCCTGAAGGTGTTTCTGGCATAGCATGCTTCTGTTCTCTCCAGCATACCATTAATAATACTCCATACTTTTGTTTTTAATCATGTTGGTATTTATTTGTTGCTGCAGTCCTTTTCCTACTCCTCATACATGTCAGAGGCAAAATTCTTGCATGGAAGAGATTAAAGTCCCCAAGAGCCGCATTCTTCTGTGTGTGCTGGGGGAGAGGAGGGCAGGGGAGTCAAGTCAAAGGACATTCCAGATTAAATAACCCACACCAGGCAAACACAAGTGTTCCTGCAGATCTCTTCAGTGCCTGGCAGTCAAATACCTCCGCTATACTTTCCCCATGTAATTATGGTCTGCTCTCAAAAAAGGAGTCGGGAATGCATTTGAAGCCTCCCTTCTAAAAACACCCATAGGATCCCCAGGGCCATGCAAAACTGCCAACTCTGAAAGGCAAAGGACTATGTGTATGAGGACCCTGTGCTCCCACCATATTCATTGTCTTTTATCTGGAGACGGTTTGCTACAGGCTCTCCATCAGAGGGTGAGTTTAGTAAGCTGATTATGGGAGAGAGCTGTTTGCTTTCTTGCTAATGTCCAGCACAGATGGGCTGAAACAATACTACAGAGCACGAATTTCCTCCCTCACCATCCAGCAACCTGCAGCCCAAATAAAGGGACAAAAAATAATAGCATTAGATGCAGCTTTGTTTTCCAAGCATGTTAAAGTGAGTTATTATCTGATTTTCATAATAGTGATTATTTTAAATTATTGATAATGCTATTAAAAGCTAATAATATTAGGGGCTTTTTAGTCTGTAGATCTTTATCAGAAGTGCTTTTCAACCAAGCACTTTGCCAGGTAATGTCAATATCATAATTTCTTTCTTTGTAAGTCTGGGAAGTCTTGAAAGGTCACCAAATAGGTCAGCAAGACAACTGAGAAGCCATGCCTAGTCCTCCTGATTCCCAGATCAACACCTTCTGAGTACAGGGGTGCTGTGGCTCACTTCATTGTTGCTGTGGACTGGGACATGCAGAGCTGTGAAAGCTCCTTCTGTGGCTGGAGGTTTTTAAGAATAAGCTGGACAAATATCACCTGGGGTAGCATGGAGTGTATTTGACTCTCTGATCACGAGGTCTAGCAGCATAACCTCTTGATATCCAGACCTCTAGCCTAGGACTTGATGACTGATGTATCCTACATGGTATGTATCTTAAATTTAATAACTGTGTTAAATTGACGTCTGTAGTCCAAGTGCTGCCAAAATGACAGTGGGCCAAGAATTACAGTAAGTGTTAAAATGCAGGCTCGGCAGGGTTTGTGGGGCAGCGAGGCTTGTTCTCATGGGTGGGTTATGCATGCCAAGGTAGCATGTTCCAACTCAAACCAACGGCATCACACAGGGCCTGCAGCCTTCTGGTTCTGCTTAGCAGGTCTTGTTGACCACCAAAAAGTGATGGAAATCCCAAGCTCTCAAAAAAAAGCAGCAGCTCTTAAGCAACTTAATTTTAGGTGTTTTTCCCTGGTTTGTTTTTTTGCTTTTTTGCTACTCAATTAACCAAGCTACCTGAGTGCTTGTTTAGTGAGACTGATTACAATAAGAAGACTGTGGACAGCAATGGCAGTGACTCATCTGAAGCTAGAAATGTCGTCTGATCTTAGGGGTGGCCAGTATCGGCTGACCCATGGTCATGTACATGGTGATCACAGATACATGATGCACTGAAAAAAACCCTGTGGACCTCTTCCAACTGCAGTATGGATAAGAATGCACCAGGCTTGGTTCCCTCTACCCAAAACAGCCCTCCACCACTCCCAACAGCCTTTGTGTCTTCACACTCATGCTCTAACAGCAAACATCCAGGCATGTAGTGTATGTTTGTAGGCATTCTGTAAAGATATTACTTAGGTGAACTGAGGGACAGCTATCAGGGTATCATCTCACAGACTTCCTACTGAAAAAGACAACAAGCACAAACAGGCGTTTCTCTCAGGATCACAGGAAGGCCACATGGGCTTCAGAGTTGATACAAAACCAAGCAGTACAGACAGGAGAGCCCAAG